ACATCTTGGCGGCCACTAGGTAAAATCTTGTGCCAAGGGCTCCAAAAAAGACGAGCGGTCCAGAAGACCAGACTGCAAAGGAGAAGGACAGAGCCCTGCGGAAGATGATCAAGGCAGATTCTTCAAGGAGTACACATCCCACTACCCACTCCGTCAGCGCTCCAAACGTGAGGCCCAAGCAAAAATTCGTGTTAAGAAATTTAAAAATTTTTAAATTACAAATAATTTTGTAAAACACATAAACAATAAAATGAGAGTGCGATATATATATATATATATATTTTTGTGTTATTGCGAGGCGACCTTGCCGCCGTTTTCGTATGGGTGCGTCATAGATCATATATATATATATATATATATATATATATATATATATATATATATATACATACTGTATATGTACATATCTATATATATGTATATAGGCTCATAACATTGTTTATATATATACAGTCCATTTAGGACAAAATTAAAAATAACAAAAATCATTTTATTAAAAATAATTCTGCAAACAAAATAAAATAAATTTGTATGTATTTAAATGAGCCAAAAAATAACAATGTTTAAATCAGGGATAAGAGATCAGGTGATTTAGACAGTCAGGTAGATATGCTGATCAAATTTTTAGAGGAAACGCAGGTAGACATTAGGAAAAACAATAGTAAAATGTTTAGGCTGAGAAAAAGAAAAATAGTTTATCTTGTAATGTAATTTTTGCACACATGATTATATGAATATCATGTGAAAAGAACAAAAAAAGTTCAAAAATTGTCCGATGTAATGGAGTACTTAGAGCAAACGTTGAATGCTATAGGCTCATCGAAGGATGAGGAGAAAAAACCGAAACCCAATAGAGACTTTGTGAAAATTGCCCAATTAGCAAAGTAGCAGGGCATTAAGCATTACAGTGCTTTAAATTTAGAGGCATGAGCCCAGTAGAAAGGGCAGAAGCCGCAAGAAAGGCACAATTATGTTTAAAGGGCTTAAAACATATAGGTGCCAAGAGGTGCGCGAGTGAAATTTTATGTGCAGAATGCAACAAATTCCATCACACAATGCTTCACATGGAGAGAAGCAAAAGTGTGAAGACATGCGTGGCTGAAAGGCACGAGCTATTAGCGACAGCACGTATCATCTTAAAATCAAATACCTGGAAAAACGAACAATAGCGGGCACTAAGTGATAGTGGGCCGCAAACTACAACCCTCGCAGCTTAAGAAAAGTCAAAGTAATTTCTTAAGAGAGTATATGAACGTAGGAAAGATGGAGAAAGCAAAGAAAGCATAAAGCACAAAAAAGAACATTTAGAAAATACTAAGGAAAATAAAGTTGTAGCTATTGAAGAAAATGAAAAAGTTCAGTGGGATTTTATCCCGCCGGCAGGACCTAATTTCGGAGGTATTTGGAAGCCCGGAGTCAAGTCAGTAATATATCATCTAAAAAGAGTAATAGGCAACTTAGATAGTGGGAAACTGATTCAAAGAAGGAAGAGATTTGGGCAAAAACGGAATGAAGATTATTTGTATGCCTTACAGCAAAGCAGTCAACGGAAACCTTTGAAAGATGTATTCAAATTTAAGATCATTTATAAGGAACTCGGAATAGCAAATTTAATGTTCCTCAAGCAAAAACAGACAATTCAACTTATCATAGATAAAAATTGCATACGTCAGAAAAAAAGAAAATGAGACAAAGTGTAAAATAGTAGGACGAAACTCATTAGATCAAAATTGGATATCAAGTGTCGGAGGTAGACTTCAAAATCCATTAACAGAAATTACGGAGATTTACTCAGAAAGACAAGAAACCATTATGCCCTCTCACATAGGTAAAGTAAAAAACTATCACGTTAAAATAAAAGATTGTTAATGATTGTATTAATTTTAGTCGAAATTATAATTGTATATCTGATAAGAAAAATAATTGTAACTAAAAAACTACAGGCCATCACTTTTGTCGGCCCTCCGCACAATGTTCACACATGTGACACCGAGTCTTACTTTGGCCCTCGGTAAAAATATAACTCACACCATATTGTATAACTGCAGCCAGCAGCATAAAATATACAGCGCACATGTGGTCGCCTAAGATTCTATAAGTGACCTACGCTAACAAAATATCATGTTAGAATAATAAGTAGCAAGGGTACATCACACGTGTAGTAGTAGTGCTATTGTTGCCCGAAATTTTAGAGCCGGTGGGAATCCAATTGGAGTTTATCCCATCCAATCTATTTTTATACCCTGAACCCATTAAAAATGGGTATAATGTGCAAAATTTAAATGTATGTAACAGACAGAAGGAAGCTTCTTCGACCCCATAAAGTATATATATTCTTGATCAGCATTAATAGCCGAGTCGATCTAGCCATGTCCGTCTGTCTGTCCGTCCTTTCGTCCGTATGTATGAACGCAAGGATCTCAGAACCTATAAGAGCTAGAGACTTGAAATTTTAGATGTAGATGCTCCTAGATCGAGTTTGTTTCCGATAATCGATAACTTACTTCGTTTCCAAGCAATCGATAAAAATCAATATCGATATCCTGTTTTTTGGGCAATTTTGGTAAATATTAAGAGCTAGAGTCACCAAACTTGACATATAGCTTCTAAAATAGAATAAATATATGCATTTGATGTTGGAAGAAGAGGTTTCAGGGTATCCCCTAGTCGGGAGCTCCCGACTAGAACCTCTTACTTGTTTATTTTGAAGGCCTCGATCTGCTGAAAGCAGTAAGCGCAAGTATCAATTTTACAATAGATTTAAACAATGCAATAGCATAACTTTTGTAAAGAATTGATTATGAAGATGTACCCTTTGCTTTTAAAAATATATGGAGATATATATATGGTGAATGTAACGAAAAGTTTTGCATGACTTGTTTAGTGTGAATCTTTAAAACCTAGTAACTAGTTTGCAAAAGTACAAAACAAAACAAGTAAGAAGTACTAGTCGGGAGTTCCCGACTAGGGAATACCCTGAACCCTCTTATTCTAACACCAAATAAATTTTAAAAACCAGTTCCCTTGGCAAGGTTGGAACTCGCAACTGACCGCATTACTTGCTGTCGAATCTACTCAACAGCCACACCAGCAAAAGCAAAAAAACAAAAATACTTTTCCCGGTAGGGCTCAAACTCGCGACAGACCGTACCACTTGCTATGCCTCTACTCAGCAGCCACACCAATAATTAAGTACTTATGATAAAAAAAAACTAAAATAGCATTACAGAAAAAAGTTGCAATTACCATTCTGTTAGAACGCGAAGCAGACGCGCATGAATGTGTGTGTACATGCTTACAGAAATTTTTAAATCTGCTGCCCCATTCAATTGCGCAGTTGCATATAACTTTGGTTTTATCGTAACCGATATTTATGAAATTTTCTACAGTATATCTTATGTACCATAGAATATTTGTACATTCTCAAAAAGTCAATTGCATTTAAATTGTGGCTTAAATTGGTTGGCCATAAAAGTTGGGTTATTAACTTGATTTATAGCTCTGTGGTGGTAGCGGGGAGCTGGCGATAGGTATAAAATGAAAGATAATTGGCATATATATATTATTCTAGAAGCAACGTATCAACATATCATATAATTTACCCAATTTGCTCAAAAAACAGGATGTCGATATCGATTTTTATCGATTGCTTGGAAACGGAGTAAGTTATCGATTATCGGAAACAAACTAAAATTTCAAGTCTTTAGCTCTTATTGGTTATGAGATCCTTGCGTTCATACATACGGACGGACGGACGGACAGACAGACGGACATGGCTACATCGACTCGGCTATTGGTGCTGATCAGAAATATTTATACTTTATGGGGTCGGAAATGCTTCCTTCTGCCTGTTACATACATTTGCATTTTGCACAAATACAATATACCCTTTTTACCTATTTTCAATGGGTTTATTTAACAGCATTTAACGGTAGTAGTCTTTTCGAGATCGACGCGTTCACACATACGGACATGGCTAACGTAGGTCCTTCTATTGCCCGCAAAGTACAAGTTTGTTTCCGATAATCGATAACTCCCCTGTTTCCAAGCAATTGATATCGAAATACAATTTTTGAGTTAATCTCTTAGTACTAGCTTCTTGAATAGTATATATATCAAGTATCTTTAATATTAGAACTTTTGAAACCCCCCACCACCACGTAGCTATAAATCAAATAAATAAACCAATGGGAAATACCCACAAATTTAAGCTACAATTTTAATGAAATTTTGTTTTTCAGAGTATTGTGTATAGTATATAATATAGTGTTTGCGGCAGCAAGCGCAAATTGCAAGAATTTCTGTATCCATGTATACACACATTCATGCGCGTCTTTATTGAATTCTATAAACAGCATTGCAATTGCAATTAGATTGTTTTCTGTGCTGTGTGTCTCGATTATGGGAAACAAACTCATACTGCGCTGGCACTAGAAAGACCTACGTTAAAAATTCTAGCTCTTATATGTTCTGAGATCCCTGCGTTTATACATACGGACCGACAGGCGAACAGGCAGAGGGACTAGGCTAGATCGACTCGACTATTGACGCTGATCAAAGAAAAGTATACTTTATGGGGTCGGAGATGCTTCCTTACGCCTGTTACAATTAAAATGGATTCGGGGTATAACAATGCGTGTATAATTTTTATCAAATTGGTTGAGAATGTCATACGTTTTTGGCGAAACCACGGACCATATGCGCTACAAAGGACTTGCTGGACAGCCGCTATTCTTCATTTAATTTTTAGAGAACTTTATGTTTATTAGACCTTAGACGATGTAAAATAAATCATTATTATTGTATTTGACTTTTTATAGGTTCTAGAGTGTCATAACCCCATAGGCTGGAAGCAATTGTGTATGGTAGCATTTAATTTCTTTTTGTTAAAACAAACATACACTTCTCAAAATTTTTAAGTTATAATATCGAATTTTGGCCGTGTCTATCCCGATGACCGGCCAGTCTTACATAACGTCTGAAAGATTACATTAACTTACGCCTGTTGCGATTCGTCCAAAAAATTTAAATTCTTCCTGTTGTCTCGTGCATTAATCAACAGAGAGCAGGAAAGTAGAAAAGTATCGTACAGTTGCTGATCTCGGTAAGATGTAGCTATCTTTCGATTTTTTGAAAATGATAAGTTAGCATCTAATTCCACAATTGAATTCATTTCTGATACCAGCTGTGAAAGGATTTGCACGCCGATCGTACAATGCTCAACTGAACCCTAAACATAGAAAACATCAGAATAAAAATGTTGATGTAAATATTTTAAGTATTTACATACCTGTAAAAACTTTTTCACGTCCTCAAGTATGTTTTGAAATATAAATTCGCCCTTGTATGAATCAAACCACCCATATTTTGTGATTTTAGCTAGAAGTGTTACAAGCGCTTGAACTACAAAGTGCTGCAAATTAAGCCTGGTTGCCAAGTAGTTAAGGGCATAGCTGCGAATATCAATGCGTTGTCCAAGAGTTATCCCCTGTATAAGTTTTGATAGGGTAGATGCGGCAAGTAGTTGTGCGTAGCTGGAGTCAGCTCGATCTAATAATAGCTGACACTTGGATAAGGCGTCCTGGCTATTGACGAAAGACACAAGTCTCTTTTCAGCATCAGCGCGTATGCTAGCATCGGTTGCTTCGTACAGCTGCTTGCACAATGTTTCTAATTGTTGTATTTCCTATACAAATAAAATTCTTATATAAATGTATATAAATGCAAATGAGTCCAAATATATGTATATTTACAAAAATAAGAAGGAAAATCAGTAATGTCCCCTAGTCGGGAATGCCCGACTGGTATATACCCCGTATTCAGCGACAAGAATCCGGTCCCAAATGTTCGAACTTCCTTCTATACATATGTACAAACATCCACAAATCAAACATTCTCAAGCACGCACTCTGATTGCTGCACAAAAATGCAGCAGCATTAGCCCAACATTAGGGGAATCGCAATTGAAATTTTTAGGAAGCGGGGACTTTGAGCGAATCAACATACCAACTTGAATATCCCTAGCTCTTGAGCTCCAAGATATGCTCTGAGCACGACGCATTTATAGAAAATCGGACAAACCGGGACGGACGTGGCTAGCTCAATACATTGATGCCGAACAAACATATGTATATGTCAATACTCTTTATGTTCGGAGATATTTCCTTCTACCTTTTCCATACATGTATGCAAATCCCTTTTATCCATTTCAATGAGTACAGGGTACAAAATTTATATGTACACCACATAAGCTTGTATGCATAGAGCACTGGTTTTAAAAAATATTAAATACAGAAAACATAATACTTATATTTAAGAACATAAATGTGGAAGCTTATACCATAATGTTTTATATGTATGTTTGTTATTTGATAAGCCAACTTTTTTGTTTTATTATTATTGTGTGCACACAAGGGTTCTAAACTTTAAGAACTAAGTACTCCGGAGCGCTCCACTGTTTCGACAATGCAACTTTAGCTAATTAGCTTTTGCAGCGGTAATAGTATATTCAAAATCTAAACTAAGAATATAAACAAAAACTGAACTAGGGAATATAAGGCAATTTAAACAGGAGTGTTGGCAATTTAGCTTTTTTTAGGTCAAATCTAGCCTTTTGAAAAGGCAGTACTGAAAACTTTAATAATTTGATATGTCTGCAAAAAGTCAGAATATTCAAGAATTATTCATGACCAGCTTCTGATTATTTTATAAAACAAATGCAACAAAATCGCTTAGTATTTTTATTTTAATTGAACATCACTGTCATCGCTGATATAGATACAGGGAATTAAATTAACAGATAACATTAAGTTGTAGACACGCTAAAAAACTATCGCTAAAATCAATATGATTCTTACTACGTTTCGCGTCCACTCTCATATCCGTCAGTAGCTTTGTTTTTAATGTCCCCAAAATTGTATCAATTTGTATATTATAGGATAAAAAGTAACATCAACTTTTTGTATTCACGATAACAGCGCTAAGTGGTTTTAAAATATAAAATTGTGCACACCTAACTGTCACAGACATCCCTGCATGACATCGACCGAAAAGGTCTGTGACAACGACCTAGTACTGGTACTATGCTCCTATATCTAACCTAATATGGGACTTTATTTATTATCAATACTGTACAAATTTAATAACATAACATAATAGAGATTTCAGGCCAGAATTTAGTCAGATGGGATATGGATAACTTTACTTATGGTAATATAATCCGGCTTTTAAATTTATCATCTTCATTGTCGCTCTAAACCAATTCTGCATCGATGTTGTCAAACAGTCTTCGGAGCTACTTTTAGGTTATATCATTTTTATTTTTTTGAAAATTTTGTGTTTTTGGAATATTTTGTTCCAATAAATGTAGACCAAAAATAAGATCTGGAGACTGCATTTATAAATCAACCAGGATTGAGCTATACCCGCTTAATAGTTGGCGTATTTATAATGATAAGCCCAAAAGTTCACGAGTTTCACCAGATCGTCGGCAACTTTGCAGCAAAAGATCTTTTAAAATTTAAAGAAACATATGTTTGTCCTCTGCAAAGTATCTGTTGCAAGACCGGCCCAGGCCACGACATTCTCAACGTCATGTACAACATTTGAGTTTTCTTTGTAAAGTAATCGGGCGCTTTCAAACGTAAGACATGCTATATAAAAATGTTGGATATCGAGATCATCTTCGACTGCGACTCTAAAGTCTGTTCTTTACATTGATTAATGGTTAAAAAGATCGTAATCAGGCGGTACTCAGCGAATAGTTTTTACGCAATTTTGCTTGCCTAGATCTTTTCTTTACGAGGCTTGCAAGCAATTATCTATGGTCAATGTTTGCTCGCGAAGCCAGTGTAAGAACTGTTATCAAAGCCATAGAAAAATTGACCGTTAAAATGCGGAATTTACCTGTGAGCAAACATTTTTATTTTTCTTGTATTATTCTTTGGTGCAGTTATTTTCCAATTTTTTTAATTATCACTTACACACAATCGTTTCTCATTGATGCTCGCATAAGTCAGCGCAAAATTATACAATAACTATCTATTATTTTTATAAAATGTTTTTCACATTTCGCTTTTTGCATTTTACTGTGCAGTTGAATTTTTCTATTACCATTATATGTTTTGAATTATAGCTAATTTGTTGGCTACATCTTATTATATATAGCCTATTTTAGCATTTGAAGTCACTACTTCCGATTTTGTATATCGATTATTGCTAACGTCACAGTTCGGAAGCAGTGAACCATAATAGCGACTTAATTATACCACCTTCTACTATCATTCAGCTTCGCGTTTGTATCCACGATTATCGATACATCTTTAAATGTGTTTTGTGATGAATGCATCCACTTCTACATCCAATCAATTAGTGAACTTTACAAATAATCATAGAATCGGAGAATTCTCTATTTATCTCATTTTCGCATTTGGATTGAATAAATTGAATGAAATAGCTTGTTGGATTTCGGTTGCGATATGTGTGCATCCCAAAACTGCCCATAGATAAGTATGATGAGGCCTGCTGCTAGTTTACTAGGCGAAGCGGCTTTGAAAGTTTTGCACAATTGTTAGGATTAGAAATGGTCCCAGCAGATTTCTCAAACGAGTTCACGAGCGGGGTTTTTCATTTTAAAAAGGACTTCATTTTTTTATCTTAACCTAAATATTTTAATTATTATTCTGACTCTTCAACATATGTCGCAAATTCCGCTGTTAATAAGCTAACAAATTCAGAAGCTCGATAAAATTACAAATTCAAGAAAGATAATTTAAAGTAACAGGACTTGAGAGGGCCACTAAATTTAACTCACTAAGTCGTGATAGCGGCTGATCCATTAAGTGATAAGACATTACTCAATGCGGATGTTCTAAGCACAGATGCTCTTTTTTTATGCGCTCTGTCATAATATACGCTCTTAGCGACCGGAGCGATTTCTCTTGTGGGTTAGATGTAGCCCAAACATAGCTAAATATTATAAGTCAATAAAATGATTAATATTATAAATATAAAATCGCTTCTATTTTGTATTTGGTATATTTAAAGATTTTATTTTTTTTGCAAATATTTCGGCTGGTCATAAAATCGTTAAAATGATCAGTCACTTGACCAACAAATGCAAGGGCAGTTGCTTGCCAAGCCTTTTCGGCCCAAAAAGAGTGGTTCACGTTAGACGCGTGCCAATAATAAAATTTTCTTTTGCGCTCTTTCACATATTTCATATTACACGTCCCTCCAAAGGCAAGAAATGAGAGAGCAATGAGAGCAGTGAGAGTAAGCCAAGCTAGTTTCCTGTATTGGGAGCAAAATAAAAAGTACCGATTCGTTCTATCATACAAATCATATGTATTTCTTATTCTCTTGCTCTTTGAGCAAGTGAGCGAATCTCGGACCCGAAGAAAAACGAAGGCGACTTTGGACCAGAATTAAAAAAAAATGCATGGCCACATGCATTTGTGCTAGCAGTGAAGTCTATATGTTGTATGTTTAGCGGTATTAGACTTAAGCGATGTATTTATCGACATATAAAAAACGGTGTACATATCGCAATATGAATTAGCGTGTTGTATCGATGTGAGATAGAAGAAAAAATCGATACTTAGAATTTCGAGATTTCAATTAATTTTGAGCGTTCGATCTGAGCTAATGGATTTCCGAGTGTTATAATAAGGATATATAAAAAATAAGAAAAGTCTGTAGACCTTATATATTAAGTGTTGGGCTTGTCCAGAACTTTCGGTGATCATTTAAGCGGTACTATATGGCGAAGTCGTGTGTAAGACCAAATCAGACCTAGTTGTATATTAAATAGTTTTGGCGGGTAAATAAGTAAAAATGCGTCAATGCGACTATTGCGTGAGTCACAAAAACCAATTGTTAATATAGAATGGGTGGATAATTTGATCGATGCGGAGATTAAAAAACCATTTTATAAAGAGCGTGTAACCATATATTGAGACAAGCGACGCCAACAACTTGGCGCCGGCCTCTGATAAAATTCTGCGAAGACTTTGAAATTTATTTTTATTACTCCCAAAGCAAAGGAGCGCGTAGCGCGAGCTGCATTTCGTGTTGATGGATAAGGGTTCAGGATATCCCCTAGTTGGGTGCTCCCGACAAGAGCCTCGTACTTGTTCTAAAATATATTCTGTGTGTCTTAACCGATTTTTATAAAAATTATAGTAGTAGATCTTATTGTGCTATAGAATTTTTGAATATTTTCAAAAAGAAGACAGCTTCAAATATGTGGCTTTAATTGGTGGGTAGATCCAATCGATTTATTTATTTGATTTATAACTATTTTGTGTAAGTATGGGAGTGGCGATATCTATAAAATAAAATGATAAATATACACTATTCAGAAAGCTACATGTAAAATTTGGTGACTCTAGCTCTTATGATAAACAAAATTTGCTTAAATAACAGGTTGTCGATATTGATTCTTATCGATTGCTTGTAAACGGGACAAGTTATCGATTATCAGAAACAAACTCGTACTACGCGGATACTATGGTGCGGCCGTCGTGAGCCCAAAAGCCTGTACTGCCCAACAAATCATCCGGCAGAGCCACCTTACACTTGAATCCCGAGCATTGTAGCCCTACTCCCAATGCAGGAAAACACAAGCCTTCTTCAATTTCTCCCCCGTGGATTGTCAATCTCTCCCTACTACTGGACCTGCTCAAAAAAAAACAACGTCGACCTCAGCAAAGTCGAACCAACTTCAGTAGGTATAACCTGCTTATAAGCCCAGGTCGCAGACACATTTAGAGCAGTTCAAAAACTCTTCGAAGCTGCTAATATAGAGCTCAACACGTATCATCTCAAAGAGGAGCTGCCGCACAAAATGGTTATAAACGGGCTAAACGATTCACCATCTCACGCCAAGATCCGCGACTTGCTCTAGGGCACGAAGTTACACATATCCACTGCTAAGAGAACTCAAAGATATCGGACAAGCTAATTCACCTGTTACTCGTTAACCTAGCCCTTCGTGGCAACAAGGACCAATGCTGCCAGGGATGCTTCGTCGAGGACGCTCACAAAAAAGCAATCTCAAACTCATTGCAGCCCGTGCAAAGCGGCAAATGCGGAGAACAACATAAATCCGTGCACTGCACACGACCCGACTCGGTTCGAGCGACCTGTGCCCGCTGCGAACTGGACCATCCCGCCAACTACAGAGTTTCGTAAAAACGAAACCAATGCAAGCCTTTGATCCTAAGCAGCACACTAGCAGCTTGGCAACCACTTAGCCTCCGCACCCACCGCCATCAATCAACGGCAACCTTTTTAGGCCTTCTGGCCCCAACCTCCAGCATCACAATAAGTCACACATAAGCCAAAGTTGCCGGTGGCAAAAGCTCCATGCAAGACAAATGGCCTAATCTTGCATAGCTTATCGCTTCAACACAGCGCCCACAGCAAAGACAACTGCACAGCAGCAATACCAAAGCCAACAACAAACGCCTCGCCACCGCTAACGTGGTGCTCAACAACAGCCTGGCCCACAAGAGTAACCCACAAACAACACCGAAAACTATCCTCC